GCAAGTTGAGCAGCAAGCTTTGTTGCAGCAAAGTTTGTTGCAGCAAGTTCAGCAGCAAGCTTTGTTGTAGCAGCAAGCTTTATTGCAGCAAGCTGAGCAAGAGAAGAGTAAAAGGCTGGAGATTCAGAAGCAGCAGCCGCTGCAGCAGCAGCAGCAGCTGGGTTTGGAGCAGCGAGTAAAACAGAGGCAGGAGGAGCGAGAAACAGAACAGCAACAGGTACGACAAGAGGCGGCACAATCGCCCTCACAGCAGCTGCTGCTTTTGCAACAGGCAAGGCAGCGGCAGGAGGAGCAAGAAGCAGCACAGCAGCATGCACAGCAAGAGGCACAGCAACGGAGGCAGCTGCTGCTTCTGAGGCAACTGGATCAGCAGCAAAGGCAGAGGCAGGAAGAGCGAGCAGAACAGCAGGCGCGACAGCAGTCACAGCAACAAGCACAGCAGCAACAGCAGGCACGAGCACAGGCAGAACTTCCAAGGATTCTGACTTCTCACGTGCAATGTCCAGTCCAACCGGCAGAGCATTATCAAGATGTATCAATCGAGCTACATCCAGATTTATCAGCTGAACATCATCCAGATTTATCAGCCGATCCGCATAGGAATCAGGTTGTTTTGAGAGAGAGAGCACAGGCCCTCCTGTCCTCCTGGCTTGGAGTATCAAGTCTCACTCCCTCTGCTTCTGTTGCTGCTGCTGCCGCCACTGCTGCCGCCGCTGCTGCCACTGCTGCTGCTGCTGGTTCAATGGTTGCTGGTGGTGATGGTGGTGGTGCTGGTGGTGGGACCGTTTCAGTTTCATCTGGTGCTGGTTTCAACGCCCCACCTCGTGCTGCCGCCCGCCCTCCAGCTCAGCTTCCCTTCGACCATCTCCCGGGCATGCCGGGGCAGAGGCCGGGCGGGTATTCTTGTCCTATCTGCGGCAAAAACTTCCCCACGTCGCAGGCGCTTGGGGGACACATGACGGGCCATGGGGCGCAACGTAAGAGGACGTCTCGAAAAAGGGAGGCAGCAGCAGCGGCGGCAGCGGCAGCGGCTAAAGCAGGGCCAGCAGGAGGAGGGAGAGGAGGCGTGAGAGGAGTAGATAGAGGAGGGGAGGGAGGAGGAGAGGGAGGGGGAGGGAGAGGGGGAAGGGAAGGGGAAGGGGAAGCGGAAGGGGGGAGGGAAGGGAGAGGAGAAGAGGGAAGAGAAAGGAGAAGGGAAAAGCGAGGGCTGGGATGGGGAGGTGAAGGAGGTCCAGGGAAGCTAGTTGACAGAGAAATAGGGGGTGCTGGTGGTAGTGCCAAAGCAAGTTCTTTCAAATCTCGCCCCACTCTCCCATCCCAACCCACTCTTTCTTTCTCATCCAAGCGCAAGGCAACCATTATGCATCTCCCTTCTATATCTGGCACCAGCAGTGGCAGTGCTGCTGCTGCTAGTGCTGCTACTAGTGCTGATGCTGCTACTAATGCTAGTGCTGCTGCAAGTGTTGATGTTAGTGCTGCTGCTAGTGCTGCTGCTAGTATTGGCACTCCTGCTGTTGATAGTGCTGCTGCCGCTTGTGGGGGTCAGTCTCGATTCAAGGAAGCAACACAGCGTGGAGTCTCCACTGCTGCTGCTGGTGCTTCTGCTGCTGCTGCTCCCGCTGCTCCTGCTACTCTTGCTGCTCCTTCTGCTGCTGCTCCTGCTACTGCTGCTACTGCTGCTTCACCCTTCGCTACTGCTGCCTCTCCTGCTTCTGCTGCTGATCCAGCTGCTCCTTCTTCTGCTGCTGCTCCTGCTACTCCTGCTATTGCTGTTTCACCCTGTGCTTCTGCTGCCACTGCCAGTGCCACTGCCACTGCCTCTCCTGCTGCTATTTTATCGATTCCGCAGCTACTGGAACGCAATCCAATCCTTGGCGCCAGCATGGGCCGCAACCCAAGCCTTAGCCTCGGTCCGAACCTCGGCCAACGCCCGAGCCTGACAGGCGGGCAGCCGAGCCTCTTGCAGTACGTTGGGGCAATGCCTCGTCGAGACGCCCTGCCTTCACTGAAACCAACTTCGTTAGAATCACCTTCATTTAGAGCACCTTTCTTCACGCCTCCTTCGCTAATGCATCTTTCTGCAATATCCCCTCTATTAGCACCACCATCAACAGCTATTGTGAGCACGGGGATGGCAAGTGCCCGCGCCACATTTCTATCCACGGCTCTTCATACTGCAGCCATGGGAATTTCGCCCCATTTAAGAACAGCCTCCTCTGAAAGGGCTTCTAACGAGGAAGCTAATAAGGTGTACACTGGTAGGGCTTCTACCGAGGAAGCTACTGGAGTATACACTAGTGTACCTACAGGCAGAGGGAGGGGGGGAGAGACTGGAAGAGGGACTGGGGGAGGGAATGGAAGCGGGAGCGGGAGAGGGAGCGGGAGAGGGAGTGGGAGCAGGAACGGGAGAGGAGCAATGGAAACTGAAGTGGCTCCTGCAATGGCTGCTGTAAATTCTCTGACTCAAATCAGTCACGTTGACCCATCCTTGCAGATTGGAGTGAGTCAGTATGAGGGTGAGGATTTGGAGGGACTTGAGCTGACTCTCCTCATGAGACCCGGATCAAGGTCCTCTGCGAATGTGAGCACTGCGAATGTGGACATTGCGAATGTGGCCACTGCAAATGCCAGCGCTGAAAATGTCAATTTTGCGAGTGGCACGGTGCAGGAAGAAAGAGGGTTGGATTCGCAAAGCAAGAGGCAGCGGCAGAACTTGTAGTGTGCATTTTCTGCTTCACGGGCGTGGAATCTCATGAATTTTAACCCGTGGAAATAAATGTGAATGGCAGTTGGAGGTGAAAGATGGCTGACCAGTACTGCAAATTCAGGTGCCAATCCATGGTGTGCTTGTTTGCATGACCTGAGAGTTGTATATATGATTACTGAAAGGCCCTCCTTGCACACTCGATATGTACCGGTAGTGTCAATTCAACACCGCATGGATGTGGTTATATGTGATTGGCCGTCCATAAATGAAAATCCAGTGTTGAAAATATTGGTGAAAATATAGGATAGGATAATAGAACATATTCAACTGTTCGTCTAACTCCGGGAAGCGAGATTTCACGTCGTTGTTCCCGTTATGCCTTCTCTGCGGATGCCACGTCAGTGTCATGCGTTCCAGCGTCACGCTCCCATGAATGAAGGCCCAGAGTTGCTTTTCTTCCCCGTTGACGGCAGCATCTCCCACCATTTTCCTGGAATGGCAGTCAGCAAGCTTGAGTTCCACGCTGGCGCCAGTCAGAGTAGGAAACCAGAGATTGGGGAGTTAGGGAACGTACTGTCAAGAATGTGAAAATCCCTGCAGAACAGCATTTTTCGCAACTTTCCTGCCTGTCGCCTGCTGGAAGCATTGCCGCTTAGTGGATGGAATGGGATTATGAAAATATAGTTCTCCGAGAAAGTACATCCACACCGGAAAGAAATGCTCATCAGCCATACGAACCGCCGATATTTAAGCTCGGCACGAACCACTAATTTTAGCCAATCGTTGTTCTCCCTTGGCTTGATTTTGTCTCGGAAAGGCCCAGAAGGCAAAGGTGGCGGTTTGAGGGACCCGATTGGGGGTTAGGCGCAGGTGCGAGGACGCTTGTTGACAGGTGTGGCAGGTTCGGCAGTGGCTTGGCGATGTTCTCGAAGTTGATGTTCGAGCTTCCCTTATTCCCCCGTCATTGTCAACGCTGGCTCGGGAAATGTTTTCGGTTTGGGACGGGAAATGTGGGAGAAGGCGGAAGCCTGGCCTAGGGAATTGTTGCATCCATGGGAACAACGGAGAGAGTACAAGGGCGTGACGCACATGTACGGTACAGTAGGATCCATTGCGCTTTGGGACGTTTTGTTTGATAGTTAGACTGGTTGGGCTGGGTATTTGAGCCGAACTAAAGTCCGTTTTCTCCAGCTGGAAAGAGAGAAATGTTCTGACAATGAACCCAAACGACCCCTATAAAGCAGATTCTTGTGAAGGTAGCAGCAGAAACGAGTTTCTTCCTTGCTCTTCCGTCGTTGTTCCCAGTGCTTCAAAAAGCTCGTTGCTGCTCTTGCAAACCGGCGCTGCTGGATTTTGTGGGTCGCACAAGCACGACTTCACAAACTGTCGGACGCGGTGCTTCTGAAAGCTGATAAAGCAAGCAAGCAGAGCAGTTCAGAGCTTGTGCTCGTCATCAGACTCTCCGATATTGAACATTCTGAAGTCCAGCTCTTCAGAAGTGTGACGAGGCGACAAGAACGTCTCTTCATCAGAGCACATTCACGCTCACAACTGCAAGCGAGCAACTGGAAGCGAACAACAGGAAGGCTGCAATCTCCCGCTGGAAAGCACGGAAGCTCCTAAATATGCTCATGCCATGCGCATTCTCTTCTGTTTCTGGCTCATTCATTCCGCAACTTCTCTGACGGTTCTCTTTCAACTGCAGCCTTCGTGCGCCTGAAGCCATTATTCGAGGCTTGAGACCACGCGCACATTCCTGATTCGAATCCAGTCCTGACTCCCGTGTACATAAGTTAACCCCGACGCAATGGCAACGGCTTTGTCCATGACTCACTCCGTGGTGACCGCGTCGACTGTAACCCACTCCAAGACAACCGACTGCAGGTTACTCGGAAGACACTCTTCCCCAGTCGTCCCGGCTCCTGCAATCAACAACTCAAGGAGCAACGCTCAACCGACCGTACACTCCCTCTACTCGTCCGCTTCCTTCCTCTCTAACTCCTCAGCTGAGCAGCAGTCCGACACGAGTCTATTGCTGCTGCAATCACAACCGTGTCATTTCCGTACTTTTCAACCACGACAGCGAGTCAACATCGCACTTCGAACCACCAGTGCTCCCTACAGGTTCGGAATCCCAAGGTGCTTCCGAACCGACGAGGGCGACCCGGACATTCTCCTACCTCACCATCCACATATCTCAACTCCGTCCCATGGGACCTCATCCAACCCTGCTTCAAGCTTCTTCGATACCCAATACGGGCCGTGGGCCAATGCCATGATGGAGCGACAAACCATGAAAAGCTTACAAGAAAGAATCTTCAAAGAACAAGCTGGCGGCGGCGGCGGCGACAGCGGCGGAAGAGGCGGGGACGATGACGACGGGAAAGGCGGCGACGGCGGGGGAGACGGCGGAGACGACGGGGATGAGGGGAACCGGCGGAGCGCCAATCAGATTGACGCGCTGCCGTTTCTCAGCCTGGCGTTTGCCGCGTTACACGCGTGCTACTGCATCGTTATAGGGTTGAAGGAGAAGGTTCTGCCTCCGGATTTTCTCCGCACAGCTGCTGGGCTCTCCTCGTTGCTCATCGCTTCGGCCCTTCGCCTGAACTCGTACGTTCCACTCGTCCCTTTTCGCCCACTACAGAAAAAGAACTAGTCTAATTATATCTACCCACCGAAAAGTTATTATTACAGAAGAGAAGAAATGAACAGCTTTGTGGGAGAAACTTGTTGGCTCACCGTGTACACACCCCTCCTACCCATTCTCCTAGTGCTTTGTCTCTTCCTTCTGTTTCATCCTTTTGCTTTCACCACTTCTTTTGCCTCATCTGCAGAACGCGGTATGGGTTCGACTCTTACGTGCTGGGCCTTGGGGCATCCGTCGGCGTTTCTGTGTGGTCAGGTGAGCGGCGGAGTGGTTTGGAGTGGTACGGTGTGGTGAGGTGCCATTATGTGCGTTGTGCTTGGGTGAGTGTATGAGGTGGCTACCATGTGCTTGTTAGGCAGTCAGACGAGTGAATAGCTACAAAGCAAAAGGGAACTAGAACGAGAAGCAAGAGTAAAACGGTAAACGGGGAATGGATAAGACGTGGCTGCAGTCTGCAACATCTTTCAAAAGCAAAACGCCTCAAAAGCGTGTGCTAGGCCGTGACACTTTGGATGACTTCGCTTGAGCCTGTTCGGCTTACTAGTCCCACTCTGTGCCTGCCTGCTCGCACTTGAGCCTAACTCGCTGTACAAGGAGCCTTCCCCTGCACACTGCTCGGTGCACTCTGCTCGGTTCACTCTGCTCGGTTCACTCTGCTCAGTGCACTCCGCTCCTGCCCCCACTGCTCCTACTGCTCCCACTATTCCCATCCTCATATGGGCTTAACCCCCAATCTCACCCCGTGCATCCCTGCTTCCCTCCATGCTTGCAGCTGAACGCTGCTTTCTGCGGAAGGAGCCCTCCCCATCGGGCGTGGCTGCACTCTGCTCAGCAATTATGGCAGCACTCTACACTTGTGCCCTCTACCGCACTGTTTAAAAACCACTGTCAACCGCACTGTACCGCACTTTTCAAGCTGCGCTGGTGTGGCTGCGGTCTCCTCAGCAGTCATGGCTGCACTATACACATGCGGCCTGTACTGCTCTGCTTAAAGCCCACTGTCAACCACACTGGACTGCACTGTACTGCACTCTTCAAAGCTCAAGCTGCACGCTGCAGTCTGCTCAGCAGTCACGGCTGCACCCTACACACACGTGGTCTGTACAGCACTGTTCAAAGCCCGTTCTCTACTAACCTCACAATGCACTGGCTCCAATGGGTTGTACCCTCAAACTGCTGCTGTGGCTGCTGGTGGCTCTTGGCCGCCCAGAGTTTCTCTCTCCCATAATTACAGGCCGAATGGATTTCAAGCTGAAGCAGCAGAACAAGGTCAGGGTGAGGCGCTGGCTATGAGCTGGCAAGTTGCTGGTGATGTGCTGGCAATGTGCTGGCAGTGTGCTGGCTGTGTCCCCACCTTTGGCACTGCACAGCTGTCTAATTTTCCGCTGCTACCAGTGTTTATCTGATGTGGTATCCATCCACTGTTATTAGAGTGTCATGTGTGAATGTGTGCGTGTGCATATAGTATTCATGTGTGCGTGTGCCTTGCCTACATAAACTCCCCTGCTTGTATAGTTATTCAGCAACATGATTCATTGTTCTGCTGACTTTCCAAAAGGTAACAGTGACACAATGACATAGCAAGGGTGGGAGAGAGCTTGTGGCTCCCTACATGGTGGACCTGCTGGTAATAACCAACCAATGTTGCCTTCAATGTTAGCTATCGTCCTTTCTGTACCATCCCATCTGAGCATTCCCTGCGCTGTCTTTCCATTCCCGCTTGACCATTCTTCTCACATTCCAGACCATACCGCACCCTACGCCCTCAGCTCTTCCTCTTTTTGTATCTGCTACTCCCCACATCCCCCTCTGGTGGGGAGTGGGGAGTAGCAGATACAAGCAGATAAGCACCCACGATCCTCGCCGCTTTGTATTTTGGGTTGGGGGGGGGGGGGGGGTTGAACTTATTGGTACCGGTAATGTCGAATTTCTGAGCACTAAGGAACATACTATACTAGCATGATGATACTACTGTACAGAATCTTAGATAATTTGCATCCTTATCCAGCAAAACAAGGTTAGAAAAAGCCCTTGCCTCCGAAAAAGCCCTTCCGCTTCCCCAAAAATCCCTTTCTCTTACCGAAGAACCCCTTCCTCTTGAAGCCGCCCTTGAACTTGCGCTTGTGATGGTGGTGGTGGCCTGTGGAGCCGGGCAACAAAATTGAAGGGGTTGATTAATGTACACCATGAAAAAATTCTACAGTTGATGACCCGAGGATTGAGGGAAACACAGTGAGTGATACATTAACCTGCATGAAAATATATGGAAGTGAGTTTTAGCAGAATACAAGGGAACAATGAATACATGCTCATAATGACCGTGGATGCTGCACATGTGCATATGAACATGGACGTTAGCACACTTTGTATGTGTGTGTGTGTGGATGTGCATGTGAGTATGTTTGCGTGTGAGGAAGGGTGGTGAGTGGTGGGAAGGGGGGTGGGGGACGGGGTGTTGTGAGATAAAGGTTGGGAGAGAGAGAGAGAGAGAGAGAGAGAGAGAGAGAGAGAGAGAGAGAGAGAAATAGAGGAAGAGAGAGAGAGAGAATTAGAGGAAGAGAGAGCCTAGGTCCTTCCCCTCTGCCGCCTGCCCTTTCCCCCTTTCCCACGCAAAATTAGCTCACTCCTCCCAACTCACCATGGCCATGAACCACAACAACAGCCGGCTTGGGGGCATGATGCACATGAGGCGCATGCCCATGGGCGGGAGGAGGAGCACCATACCCAGGGTAACCCTGGGGCGGGTAACCCTGGGGAGGGTAGCCCTGGGGAGGGGGAGCGCCATAGGGGGCGGGCGGGTAGCCTTGAGGGGGAGGGGCGCCATAGGGCGCAGGGGCATGTCCGCCGGGGGGAGGAGCGCCGTAGGGGGCAGGGGCATGTCCCCCAGGGGGAGGAGCGCCATAGCCCGCGGGAGCAGCGCCAGGGTAACCGCCTTGGGGCGGGTAACCTGGGTAACCGGATGGCGGGGGACCATGGCCGGCAGGGGGAGGGGCGTGCTGCTGGGGGTACCCCTGAGGGGGAGGGGCGGCGTGGGAGGAGGCAGCTGCTGCAGCGGCGGGGGCGCCAGGAGCACCAACAGGCTGAGATGGGACGGGCAAGAAGGGGAGGTAACAGATGGTTGATATGTCACTGTGAATACTGTCGATCCCGGAAACGAAAAAGCATGTGCTACGCGCGACATGCAAACAAGCACCACCGGTCCGTTGCTGATATGCATAAACCGCTCACTGAAATGAATTAGATTAAAAGATAGTTCCGAGTTTTGCAGGCAAATCACACATCCTCCTAAGGCAACAGTGGAAGAGAGTGTGGGCCAGCAGCGACCAAGAGGGGGACGAGTGTCGACAAGAGAGAGTGAAAGAGACATAGCGATGATTTCATGTGGGTAAGGAGGTGAACTTACCGGGTAATACTTCAGAGCGAGACGAAGGCTCCCCTGCTGCCTGCAATCGCAAGAATAATGGGGATATTCATGGCAAACGCACCCGAAGATAGGGATAAATAATTAATCAATTTATAAGGAAAACTCTAGCAAAACAAAAAAAAAATCTCCTAATGTCCAGTTGGATAAGATTGAGAAAAGAAACCCTTCGAAACAAAGAGTTAGTCAAAGTAAAGCTGAGTGTTTCTTCCTCTTCTTTCCCGTCTGAACGGGTGTCACAAACTCGAATGCTAGAAAGCTTAGGTGAAAATGTTAGAAAGCTGACCTGCCCTTGGGAGTGAAGAGAGGATGCCACGAGTCCCACACCGGATAGCTGAAGGCCTGTCGGATATTCACCCTGGGAATGTCATGTCACGGATAGTGGGAGGTGGACGATTAAGGAACTTCAAGAATCTCAGATCTTTGCGAAGGGAGTGGAAAAGAAAAGAAAAGAAAAGAAAGAAAGAAAAGAAAGAAAGAAAGAAAGAAAGAAAGAAAAACCTCTTAACATAAATTCCGGGAGATGCCGTGAACAAATCTACGGAAACGAGCTGTCAGGCAAGATGCGTACTTGCAGAATCAACGATTCGATGGAAGGCAAATGGGGGCAGGCAACGTGAAAGGAAAATGAGCTGGTCGAGAGGGAACTAACTTGCAAGTCCCAATCTTGTCGTCCGCCTTCCTGTTTTCGTTCCAGACCGCGAAGTGAGCCTCGTCGACGCCATGGATAACGTTCAGACGGAAGGTCGTGTTCCACACGGGTGACGTGTGTCCGTCTGGTAAGCAACGAATGAACACGAAAATGATGTAGAGGCAAATATGTTGAAGAACAGACTACAGCTGGAAGATCGTGTTCCAATTAGGTCGTGCTCAACGCGCGTAAGAAAAACGATGAAGAGCATTGGCCGAATGCATGAAATCAGTTCGCCTAAAATTCAGCGCCGAACGGTTTTCACGGGAATTCGTAACATTGCCATTTTATTGTCGGGACAGAGCCAGTATTCTTGACGTCTCCGTAACAACGATAAGTTAGTCACGTTAGAAAGAAATAAAAATAATAAAACATGAGAAAAAACCGAGAAAATGGCAATACAAGATGTTCGTTGTTTGAGTCGTCACCTTTGTGGGTCTTGGTGCGGTGAGTCTGTTGACCGTACATCAGAACCGCGTACGGATCTTGCATGCCGAAGATCTCCGTGTCCTTGAGATCCCTCGAACCAATTACTGCACACAAATACGCAACTCAATCAGATCATAAGATCGTCATAAAACAGTCGATGAGAGGGTGAATATTCTTGTTAGGAGCATGAAGCATCAGCAAGGAACTCTGCAGCCATCAATGTGACAGACAGGAACGGCTAGTTTAAGTCAGTGCCAGACTCAAACAACCGTTTCTTAGCACTCAGATGTTCAATGTCGTACTACTTACTGGTGACATCCAGCCACCCTGCAGCAGCCATTGTTCCCGGCTCCCTGGAAAAGCAGAGACGGCGAAAAAGGAGACCACCCCTACGGCACCAGCGAAGGAACAACCTTGCCGGTTTGCTCCTTTCCTCTCCAGCAACCTCACTACTCCCAAGCAAGCCCGCTCAAGCAAGCTCAACTTCAATCAACAAGCAAGCTTGAAGCACCCTCCTATCTGACAATCCCATCCCCATCACTAGAGAGTGAAGACAAGCCGAAACCTGTTCATATGTTGTGTTGCTTGGGTTTGGTTGGGTTCGTTGAGGTGATAGGGTCGTATAACAAAACAATGCTCTGTTACCGCACGGCGCCCCTCTAAATTGCACAAAGCGGCAGTGGCTCAACCTCCACATCTCGAGATGTCCAAATCCGAACGGAATGAAGGCACTGGCGCACGTGACAATAACGATGGGATGGAAGACTTTTGCGTCGAGTCGAGGTCCCATCAGGAAAGTGCAATGCAAAGTACATCGCACCTTGCCTCACCTCGGTCACCTCACCACCTCACGCCTCTCGTCAGTCACCACCACCACACAGCTTGGTTCGCGCCAAACCTGAAATATCAACTCTGGTTGGCTTGTGAGACACGGCGTTTTGAAAGCCAATGCCAAGTCAAAATAACGTCAGATGAAGCAGCTGATTGGCAGTTGGGGTCAACCGAGTGATTCAGTCGGTTCGGACTGGCAGGGGGTTGTTTTTTGGGTTGCGAAGCAACCTATTACAATCGATTTGGACAGTTTTTTTTTTTTCCACATTTTATCTATTTAAAATAAAATGTGAAATAAAAAAAACAGGATGCACTAGTTGCTAAATACATGACCAGTAAGTATTGTCTACATTCAATTGTAATGTGATGGTAGTGATTTTTCTGTTCGCACTACGACATATTTTTGTGCGGTATGTTGGATGATATAATGGTAATTACGTGACTGTCGTAAAATGCATATATGTTATAGATTAAACCTTTGTGCTTAAATAAATATAATAATACATGAATGAATATAATGATACATGCTTGAATGAATATAATGATACAAATTTTATAAATGCATTATGCAATAATGATAATGATGCTTCAGTATGCACAATGTTTTATGTTGAATACATGCATACTAGTTCATGATATAAATGCGTGAAAGCTAACGATCCAAGAACTATGCTATCGCATCCCCTGCCTAGCATGGGGGGGAGCTAACAGCATAATCCTTGAACAATCAGCAGTCACATGAAACAACACAATCTGTGAACTCTAAAAAGATGGTCAAATCTATCATCTCCAGCTCAAGTGGGCTCCCGACAGGCGCGCCAATGAACCTTCTATTGAAATGATAAACCTGATTCACCTTTTTAAAACCCACAGACGTGCATTGTCATTGCAATGATAGATGAATGCACACCCAGACAAGCAAACACATTCACAACAACCAAACGCATGGACAGCAAAAAAACGAGCAGGAAACCCAAGATAATACATAAAAGATGCAAAACAAAGTAAAACGGGCAATATGGTGAATTCTATAAGTGACAACTACGATTATCCAGATTGGACTCGCCTTCCTGATCAGCAAGACTCCTGAGAAAAAAAAAAAAATAGATAATGAGAAAGGGAAGGTAGGGTCAACATAGGTAACAGAAAACAAAGCACATTAAACAAAGCAAAAAACAGAAGCATAAAACGGAAGTATAAAATGGAAGCAGAAAACGGTGACAGAAAACGGAAGCAGCAAACTGAAGCCGTAAACATAATGAAGGAAGGCGTAAAGGAAGCATGGAAGGTATGAGGGAAGGAAAGATGGAAGGACGGACGGAAGGAATGAGATAGAGAGAGAGAGAGAGAGAGAGAGAGAGAGAGAGAGAGAGAGAGAGAGAGAGAGAGAGAGAGAGAGAGAGAGAACGAGAGAGAGAAAACGAGAGAGAGAGAACGAGAGAGAGAATTCGAGAGAGAGAGAACGAGAGAGAGAACGAGAGAGAGAGAACAAGAGAGAGAGAGAACGAGAGAGAGAGAACGAGAGAAAGAGAGAGAGAGAACGAGAGAGAGAGAGAGAGAGAGAACGAGAGAGAGAGAGAGAGAGAGAGATGAGAGAGAGAGAGAGAGAGAGAAAGAGAGAGAGAGAGAGAGAGAGAGAGAGAGAGAGAGAGAGAGAGGGAGGGAGGGAGGGAGGGAGGGAGGGAGGGAGGGAGGGAGGGGGGAGGGAGGGAGGGAGAGAGAGAGAGAGAGAGAGAGAGAGAGAGAGAGAGAGAGAGAGAGAGAGAGAGAGAGAGAGAGAGAGAGAGAGAGAGAGAGGGAGAGGGAGGGAGAGAGAGAGAGAGAGAGAACGAGATTGAGAGAACGAGAGAAGAAGAAAGAACCGGAATGAACAACATACTAATAACAACGGTAAGAAACAATAAGAAACGAAGAACGGGAGAGAGAGAAGGAACCGAGAGGAGGGAGAACCGAGAGAGAGAGAGAGATAAGGCATAACCGATGGAGATAGAAGGAACGGTAAGAAACAATAAGAAACTAGAATAAGCGACGAAATTGAGCTAGACAAAACGGAATGAAAGAGAGGATGATACAAGAATAAGGCAGGATGATACATCATCTTCTGGTTAACATATACGTCTAGATCTCGTTTAAAAAAAACAAACTCTCAACCATAATGAGTTAAACTAGGACCCACTCTCAACTAGAATGAGCTTAAGAAATAGAGAGAATATGGCTTACCTTAATATGAGCACTAGTCTGGGGCGCGAGTAGCGTGAGTGACGTGAGGGACGGGAGAAGCTAGAGTGGCGTGAGTAGTTGGAAGAGAAACGAAGCACAAAGGAATTTGACGAAACCCTAGGATGGGACGTTTTTGATTGCAATTATAGACTGGTAAATTTAGCGCCAAAGCTGAAACAGCGTGTTTAGCACAGCGCTATCGATGTAGCGTTTCATCACGAAGGCCAGCGGTTCGAATCCAGTCGTGCACGTTGATTCGGTAAAGTTTATTTCTTGTTCCGTTTTGTAGTTTTGTTGTTTCCAGATTTCCAATCACCATAAAACCAAATAATCTGAACAGAATAAGAATAACTTTAACATAAAGAATGTTCTTAACATTAAGAATCTATATCCAAAACGACCACCCCTATTTATATATGTAAACCTATATTATATGTCAATGTATATGTAAATAGCAGTAGTGATCTAGCCGCAGAGCCAGCGATTAGGCCGCCCGCAGCGCCGTTAGGCAGCAGAACTGGCGCCATAGCAGGCTCGTTTCACGTACTGGCAGCAGAATCGCGTCACAGCAGCGAAAAACGCGCCACAGCAGCGAAGTCCACGCCACATCAGCGAAATCTGCGTCACGGCAGCGAAGTCCGTGCCACAGCAGTGAGATCCGAGCCATAGCAGCGAGATCCAAGCCATAGCAGCGAGATCCGCGCCATAGCAGTGAAATCCGAGCTATAGCCGCGAGATCCGCGCCATAACAACGTGGTTTGCGCCATAGCAGCAAAAGCCGTGTCTTAGCACCGAAATCCGCCCCTCAGCAACGGAATCCGCGCCATAGCAGCCGCGCCTGGGCCATCGCAATGAAACCCGCGCCATAAGAGTGTGATCTGTGCCGTAGCAGCGAAGACAGCACCTTTGTAGCGAAACCCGCGCCATAGCAGCACCGTAGAGTAAGAGCAGTAGCAGAGAGTAAGCGAACAAGCCTTAGCCAGATCCTTGAGCCATGGCGGACGACCCGGACCCCGGGGATCCCGGGGGCCGGGTGGGGGGCGGCCTTGACAGCGACGTGACGGGAGCCTTCGGGGGTGAAGGGGGGGCAAGCACACTAGCAGCTGGTGGGTCACTCCACCTATTGACCGGTCACAAAAGACGGGGGGGGGCTGAGAGTGCGCTCCAGAGCCCACGCATTCGTCGCCTCCACCACGAAGACCTTCTGTGCCTCTTTGGCAAACCAGCCAAGAGACAGTGTTGTGAAGCAGGCCGTTCGATTTCAGTGTTGACATGCGGCCAACCTCTCGAAGACCCTCCCAACACCGGGTCTGACGGCGATTACCCTGTACCTTCGGCCATCATCGGAGAAAGGGGGGGAGCAACAACCGAAAAGGGTCCAGTCGACGAGGCGGCGGTTGTACCACGGGTGGCATCGGAAGTAGCGAGGGCAGCCTGGGAGGAATACCGTAGGCGCTTGCAACAACAGCATGACACTCGCAGACGCTGCCTACCTGTGAGGGCAATGTTGCACGGCGCCGGCTCGGCCGACGCCGCAATCCCCCCGGTCGTGCCACGTCTCGCATGGCGGCAGGAGCGGAGGCGCCGGAGTGCGGCGGGGAAAGACAGGCAGCAGGAGCCACTAGTGGGGGGTCAGCGTGACCCGCAGGTGGGCGGGCAGCAGGGGGCCTGGGAGAGGAGCCGGCAGCCGCCGGTGGGGACGGGGCAGCAGGAGCTGCAGAGCGGAGGGCAGCAGGAGCTGCAGAGCGGGGGGCAGCAGCAGCTGCAGAGCGGAGGGCAGCAGGAGCTGCAGAGCGGAGGGCAGCAGCAGCTGCAGAGCGGAGGGCAGCAGCAGCTGCAGAGCGGAGGGCAGCAGCAGCTGCAGAGCGGAGGGCAGCAGGAGCTGCAGAGCGGAGGGCAGCAGGAGCTGCAGAGCGGAGGGCAGCAGCAGCTGCAGAGCGGAGGGCAGCAGGAGCTGCAGAGCGGAGGGCAGCAGGAGCTGCAGAGCAAAGGGCAGCAGGAGCTGCAAAGCGGAGGGCAGCAGGAGCTGCAGAGCGGAGGGCAGCAGGAGCTGCTGAGCGGAGGGCAGCAGGAGCTGCAGAGCGGAGGGCAGCAGCAGCTGCAGAGCGGAGGGCAGCAGCAGCTGCAGAGCGGAGGGCAGCAGGAGCTGCAGAGCGGAGGGCAGCAGGAGCTGCAGAGCGGAGGGCAGCAGCAGCTGCAGAGCGGAGGGCAGCAGCAGCTGCAGAGCGGAGGGCAGCAGGAGCTGCAGAGCGGAGGGCAGCAGGAGCTGCAGAGCGGAGGGCAGCAAGAGCCGGTTTGGGTGTTGGATGTGGAGATGGCGGACGAGGCTTGCACCGATGAGCTGGAATCAAGCCCCATGGAGGGGGAGAATGCCGACCCTGATTCCCCGGACCAAGCGGAAAGGCCCCGAGCGCGGGGCCGGGGCCGGAGGCGACGGGCAACCAAACTGCAGCAGCTGCAGAGCGGAGGGCAGCAGCAGCTGCCGAGCGGAGGGCAGCAGCAGCTGCAGAGCGGAGGGCAGCAGCAGCTGCCGAGCGGAGGGCAGCAGCAGCAGCTGCAGAGCGGAGGGCAGCAGCAGCTGCCGAGCGGAGGGCAGCAGCAGCTGCAGAGCGGAGGGCAGCAGCAGCTGCCGAGCGGAGGGCAGCAGCAGCTGCAGAGCGGAGGGCAGCAGCAGCTGCCGAGCGGAGGGCAGCAGCAGCTGCAGAGCGGAGGGCAGCAGCAGCTGCAGAGCGGAGGGCAGCAGCAGCTGCCGAGCGGAGGGCAGCAGCAGCTGCAGAGCGGAGGGCAGCAGCAGCTGCCGAGCGGAGGGCAGCAGCAGCTGCAGACCGGAGGGCAGCAGCAGCTGCCGAGCGGAGGGCAGCAGCAGCTGCCGAGCGGAGGGCAGCAGCAGCTGCAGAGCGGAGGGCAGCAGGAGCTGCAGAGCGGAGGGCAGCAGGAGCTGCAGAGCGGAGGGCAGCAGGAGCTGCAGAGCGGAGGGCAGCAGGAGCTGCAGAGCGGAGGGCAGCAGCAGCTGCAGAGCGGAGGGCAGCAGCAGCTGCCGAATGGAGGGCAGCAGCAGCTGCAGAGCGGAGGGCAGCAGGAGCTGCCGAGCGGAGGGCAGCGGCAGCTGCCGAGTGGAGGGCAGCGGCAGCTGCAGAGCGGAGGGCAGCAGGAGCTGCAAAGCGAAGGGCAGCAGGAGCTGCAGAGCGGAGGGCAGCAGCAGCTGCAGAGCGGAGGGCAGCAGCAGCTGCAGAGCGGAGGGCAGCAGCAGCTGCCGAGCGGAGGGCAGCGGGAGCTGCAGAGCGGAGGGCAGCAGCAGCTGCAGAGCGGAGGGCAGCAAGAGCCGGTTTGGGTGTTGGATGTGGAGATGGCGGACGAGGCTTGCACCGATGAGCTGGAATCAAGCCCCATGGAGGGGGAGAATGCCAACCCTGATTCCCCGGACCAAGCGGAAAGGCCCCGAGCGCGGGGCCGGGGCCGGAGGCGACGGGCAACCAAACTGCAGCAGCTGCAGAGCGGAGGGCAGCAGCAGCTGCCGAGCGGAGGGCAGCAGCAGCTGCAGAGCGGAGGGCAGCAGCAGCTGCCGAGCGGAGGGCAGCAGCAGCTGCAGAGCGGAGGGCAGCAGCAGCTGCCGAGCGGAGGGCAGCAGCAGCTGCAGAGCGGAGGGCAGCAGCAGCTGCCGAGCGGAGGGCAGCAGCAGCTGCAGAGCGGAGGGCAGCAGCAGCTGCCGAGCGGAGGGCAGCAGCTGCTGCAGACCGGAGGGCAGCAGCAGCTGCCGAGCGGAGGGCAGCAGCAGCTGCCGAGCGGAGGGCAGCAGCAGCTGCAGAGCGGAGGGCAGCAGGAGCTGCAGAGCGGAGGGCAGCAGGAGCTGCAGAGCGGAGGGCAGCAGGAGCTGCAGAGCGGAGGGCAGCAGGAGCTGCAGAGCGGAGGGCAGAAGGAGCTGCAGAGCGGAGGGCAACAGCAGCTGCCGAGCGGAGGGCAGCAGCAGCTGCAGAGCGGAGGGCAGCAGGAGCTGCCGAGCGGAGGGCAGCGGCAGCTGCCGAGTGGAGGGCAGCGGCAGCTGCAGAGCGGAGGGCAGCAGGAGCTGCAGAGCGAAGGGCAGCAGGAGCTGCAGAGCGGAGGGCAGCAGCAGCTGCAGAGCGGAGGGCAGCAGCAGCTGCAGAGCGGAGGGCAGAAGCAGCTGCCGAGCGGAGGGCAGCGGGAGCTGCAGAGCGGATGGCAGCAGCAGCTGCAGAGCGGAGGGCAGCAAGAGCCGGTTTGGGTGTTGGATGTGGAGATGGCGGACGAGGCTTGCACCGATGAGCTGGAATCAAGCCCCATGGAGGGGGAGAATGCCAACCCTGATTCCCCGGACCAAGCGGAAAGGCCCCGAGCGCGGGGCCGGGGCCGGAGGCCACGGGCAACCAAACTGCAGCAGCTGCAGAGCGGAGGGCAGCAGCAGCTGCCGAGCGGAGGGCAGCAGCAGCTGCAGAGCGGAGGGCAGCAGCAGCTGCCGAGCGGAGGGCAGCAGCAGCTGCAGAGCGGAGGGCAGCAGCAGCTGCCGAGCGGAGGGCAGCAGCAGCTGCAGAGCGGAGGGCAGCAGCAGCTGCCGAGCGGAGGGCAGCAGCAGCTGCAGAGCGGAGGGCAGCAGCAGCTGCCGAGCGGAGGGCAGCATCAGCTGCCGAGCGGAGGGCAGCAGCAGCTGCAGAGCGGAGGGCAGCAGGAGCTGCAGAGCGGAGGGCAGCAGGAGCTGCAGAGCGGAGGGCAGCAGGAGCTGCAGAGCGGAGGGCAGCAGGAGCTGCAGAGCGGAGGGCAACAGCAGCTGCCGAGCGGAGGGCAGCAGCAGCTGCAGAGCGGAGGGCAGCAGGAGCTGCCGAGCGGAGGGCAGCGGCAGCTGCCGAGTGGAGGGCAGCGGCAGCTGCAGAGCGGAGGGCAGCAGGAGCTGCAGAGCGAAGGGCAGCAGGAGCTGCAGAGCGGAGGGCAGCAGCAGCTGCAGAGCGGAGGGCAGCAGCAGCTGCAGAGCGGAGGGCAGAAGCAGCTGCCGAGCGGAGGGCAGCGGGAGCTGCAGAGCGGATGGCAGCAGCAGCTGCAGAGCGGAGGGCAGCAAGAGCCGGTTTGGGTGTTGGATGTGGAGATGGCGGACGAGGCTTGCACCGATGAGCTGGAATCAAGCCCCATGGAGGGGGAGAATGCCAACCCTGATTCCCCGGACCAAGCGGAAAGGCCCCGAGCGCGGGGCCGGGGCCGGAGGCGACGGGCAACCAAACTGCAGCAGCTGCAGAGCGGAGGGCAGCAGCAGCTGCCGAGCGGAGGGCAGCAGCAGCTGCAGAGCGGAGGGCAGCAGCAGCTGCCGAGCGGAGGGCAGCAGCAGCTGCAGAGCGGAGGGCAGCAGCAGCTGCCGAGCGGAGGGCAGCAGCAGCTGCAGAGCGGAGGGCAGCAGCAGCTGCCGAGCGGAGGGCAGCAGCAGCTGCAGAGCGGAGGGCAGCAGCAGCTGCCGAGCGGAGGGCAGCATCAGCTGCCGAGCGGAGGGCAGCAGCAGCTGCAGAGCGGAGGGCAGCAGGAGCTGCAGAGCGGAGGGCAGCAGGAGCTGCAGAGCGGAGGGCAGCAGGAGCTGCAGAGCGGAGGGCAGCAGGAGCTGCAGAGCGGAGGGCAGCAGGAGCTGCAGAGCGGAGGGCAACAGCAGCTGCCGAGCGGAGGGCAGCAGCAGCTGCAGAGCGGAGGGCAGCAGGAGCTGCCGAGCGGAGGGCAGCGGCAGCTGCCGAGTGGAGGGCAGCGGCAGCTGCAGAGCGGAGGGCAGCAGGAGCTGCAGAGCGAAGGGCAGCAGGAGCTGCAGAGCGGAGGGCAGCAGCAGCTGCAGAGCGGAGGGCAGCAGCAGCTGCAGAGCGGAGGGCAGCAGCAGCTGCCGAGCGGAGGGCAGTGGGAGCTGCAGAGCGGAGGGCAGCAGCAGCTGCGGAGCGGAGGGCAGCAAGAGCCGGTTTGGGTGTTGGATGTGGAGATGGCGAACGAGGCTTGCACTGATGAGCTGGAATCAAGCCCAATGGAGGGGGAGAATGCCAACCCTGATTCCCCGGACCAAGCGGAAAGGCCCCGAGCGCGGGGCCGGGGCCGGAGGCGACGGGCAACCAAACTGCAGCAGCTGCAGAGCGGAGGGCAGCAGCAGCTGCCGAGCGGAGGGCAGCAGCAGCTGCAGAGCGGAGGGCAGCAGCAGCTGCCGAGCGGAGGGCAGCAGCAGCTGCAGAGCGGAGGGCAGCAGCAGCTGCCGAGCGGAGGGCAGCAGCAGCTGCAGAGCGGAGGGCAGCAGCAGCTGCCGAGCGGAGGGCAGCAGCAGCTGCAGAGCGGAGGGCAGCAGCAGCTGCCGAGCGGAGGGCAGCAGCAGCTGCCGAGCGGAGGGCAGCAGCAGCTGCAGAGCGGAGGGCAGCAGGAGCTGCAGAGCGGAGGGCAGCAGGAGCTGCAGAGCGGAGGGCAGCAGGAGCTGCAGAGCGGAGGGCAGCAGGAGCTGCAGAGCGGAGGGCAGCAGGAGCTGCAGAGCGGAGGGCAACAGCAGCTGCCGAGCGGAGGGCAGCAGCAGCTGCAGAGCGGAGGGCAGCAGGAGCTGCCGAGCGGAGGGCAGCGGCAGCTGCCGCGTGGGGGGCAGCGGCAGCTGCAGAGCGGAGGGCAGCAGGAGCTGCAGAGCGAAGGGCAGCAGGAGCTGCAGAGCGGAGGGCAGCAGCAGCTGCAGAGCGGAGGGAAGCAGCAGCTGCAGAGCGGAGGGCAGCAGGAGCTGCCGAGCGGAGGGCAGCAGGAGCTGCCGAGCGGAGGGCAGCAGCAGCTGCCGAGCGGAGGGCAGCAGCAGCTGCCGAGCGGAGGGCAGCAGGAGCTGCAGAGCGGAGGGCAGCAGGAGCTGCCGAGCGGAGGGCAGCGGCAGCTGCCGAGTGGGGGGCAGCGGCAGCTGCAGAGCGGAGGGCAGCAGGAGCTGCAGAGCGAGGGGCAGCAGGAGCTGCAGAGCGGAGGGCAGCAGGAGCTGCCGAGCGGAGGGCAGCGGCAGCTGCAGAGCGGAGGGCAGCAGCAGCTGCAGAGCGGAGGGCAGCAGCAGCTGCCGAGCGGAGGGCAGCAGCAGCTGCCGAGCGGAGGGCAGCAGCAGCTGCAGAGCGGAGGGCAGCAGGAGCTGCAGAGCGGAGGGCAGCAGGAGCTGCAGAGCGGAGGGCAGCAGGAGCTGCAGAGCGGAGGGCAGCAGGAGCTGCAGAGCGGAGGGCAGCAGGAGCTGCAGAGCGGAGGGCAACAGCAGCTGCCGAGCGGAGGGCAGCAGCAGCTGCAGAGCGGAGGGCAGCAGGAGCTGCCGAGCGGAGGGCAGCGGCAGCTGCCGAGTGGAGGGCAGCGGCAGCTGCAGAGCGGAGGGCAGCAGGAGCTGCAGAGCGAAGGGCAGCAGGAGCTGCAGAGCGGAGGGCAGCAGCAGCTGCAGAGCGGAGGGCAGCAGCAGCTGCAGAGCGGAGGGCAGCAGCAGCTGCCGAGCGGAGGGCAGCGGGAGCTGCAGAGCGGAGGGCAGCAGCAGCTGCAGAGCGGAGGGCAGCAAGAGCCGGTTTGGGTGTTGGATGTGGAGATGGCGGACGAGGCTTGCACCGATGAGCTGGAATCAAGCCCCATGGAGGGGGAGAATGCCAACCCTGATTCCCCGGACCAAGCGGAAAGGCCCCGAGCGCGGGGCCGGGGCCGGAGGCGACGGGCAACCAAACTGCAGCAGCTGCAGAGCGGAGGGCAGCAGCAGCTGCCGAGCGGAGGGCAGCAGCAGCTGCAGAGCGGAGGGCAGCAGCAGCTGCCGAGCGGAGGGCAGCAGCAGCTGCAGAGCGGAGGGCAGCAGCAGCTGCCGAGCGGAGGGCAGCAGCAGCTGCAGAGCGGAGGGCAGCAGCAGCTGCCGAGCGGAGGGCAGCAGCTGCTGCAGACCGGAGGGCAGCAGCAGCTGCCGAGCGGAGGGCAGCAGCAGCTGCCGAGCGGAGGGCAGCAGCAGCTGCAGAGCGGAGGGCAGCAGGAGCTGCAGAGCGGAGGGCAGCAGGAGCTGCAGAGCGGAGGGCAGCAGGAGCTGCAGAGCGGAGGGCAGCAGGAGCTGCAGAGCGGAGGGCAGCAGGAGCTGCAGAGCGGAGGGCAACAGCAGCTGCCGAGCGGAGGGCAGCAGCAGCTGCAGAGCGGAGGGCAGCAGGAGCTGCCGAGCGGAGGGCAGCGGCAGCTGCCGAGTGGAGGGCAGCGGCAGCTGCAGAGCGGAGGGCAGCAGGAGCTGCAGAGCGAAGGGCAGCAGGAGCTGCAGAGCGGAGGGCAGCAGCAGCTGCAGAGCGGAGGGCAGCAGCAGCTGCAGAGCGGAGGGCAGAAGCAGCTGCCGAGCGGAGGGCAGCGGGAGCTGCAGAGCGGATGGCAGCAGCAGCTGCAGAGCGGAGGGCAGCAAGAGCCGGTTTGGGTGTTGGATGTGGAGATGGCGGACGAGGCTTGCACCGATGAGCTGGAATCAAGCCCCATGGAGGGGGAGAATGCCAACCCTGATTCCCCGGACCAAGCGGAAAGGCCCCGAGCGCGGGGCCGGGGCCGGAGGCGACGGGCAACCAAACTGCAGCAGCTGCAGAGCGGAGGGCAGCAGCAGCTGCCGAGCGGAGGGCAGCAGCAGCTGCAGAGCGGAGGGCAGCAGCAGCTGCCGAGCGGAGGGAAGCAGCAGCTGCAGAGCGGAGGGCAGCAGCAGCTGCCGAGCGGAGGGCAGCAGCAGCTGCAGAGCGGAGGGCAGCAGCAGCTGCCGAGCGGAGGGCAGCAGCAGCTGCAGAGCGGAGGGCAGCAGCAGCTGCCGAGCGGAGGGCAGCATCAGCTGCCGAGCGGAGGGCAGCAGCAGCTGCAGAGCGGAGGGCAGCAGGAGCTGCAGAGCGGAGGGCAGCAGGAGCTGCAGAGCGGAGGGCAGCAGGAGCTGCAGAGCGGAGGGCAGCAGGAGCTGCAGAGCGGAGGGCAGCAGGAGCTGCAGAGCGGAGGGCAACAGCAGCTGCCGAGCGGAGGGCAGCAGGAGCTGCAGAGCGGAGGGCAGCAGGAGCTGCCGAGCGGAGGGCAGCAGGAGCTGCAGAGCGGAGGGCAACAGCAGCTGCCGAGCGGAGGGCAGCAGCAGCTGCAGAGCGGAGGGCAGCAGGAGCTGCCGAGCGGAGGGCAGCGGCAGCTGCCGCGTGGGGGGCAGCGGCAGCTGCAGAGCGGAGTGCAGCAGGAGCTGCAGAGCGAAGGGCAGCAGGAGCTGCAGAGCGGAGGGCAGCAGCAGCTGCAGAGCGGAGGGAAGCAGCAGCTGCAGAGCGGAGGGCAGCAGCAGCTGCCGAGCGGAGGGCAGTGGGAGCTGCAGAGCGGAGGGCAGCAGCAGCTGCCGAGCGGAGGGCAGCAGCAGCTGCAGAGCGGAGGGCAGCAGCAGCTGCCGAGCGGAGGGCAGCAGGAGCTGCAGAGCGGAGGGCAGCAGGAGCTGCCGAGCGGAGGGCAGCGGCAGCTGCCGAGTGGGGGGCAGCGGCAGCTGCAGAGCGGAGGGCAGCAGGAGCTGCAGAGCGAGGGGCAGCAGGAGCTGCAGAGCGGAGGGCAGCAGCAGCTGCAGAGCGGAGGGCAGCAGCAGCTGCAGAGCGGAGGGCAGCAGCAGCTGCCGAGCGGAGGGCAGCAGCAGCTGCCGAGCGGAGGGCAGCAGCAGCTGCAGAGCGGAGGGCAGCAGGAGCTGCAGAGCAGAGGGCAGCAGGAGCTGCAGAGCGGAGGGCAGCAGGAGCTGCAGAGCGGAGGGCAGCAGGAGCTGCAGAGCGGAGGGCAGCAGGAGCTGCAGAGCGGAGGGCAACAGCAGCTGCCGAGCGGAGGGCAGCAGCAGCTGCAGAGCGGAGGGCAGCAGGAGCTGCCGAGCGGAGGGCAGCGGCAGCTGCCGAGTGGAGGGCAGCGGCAGCTGCAGAGCGGAGGGCAGCAGGAGCTGCAGAGCGAAGGGCAGCAGGAGCTGCAGAGCGGAGGGCAGCAGCAGCTGCAGAGCGGAGGGCAGCAGCAGCTGCAGAGCGGAGGGCAGCAGCAGCTGCCGAGCGGAGGGCAGCGGGAGCTGCAGAGCGGAGGGCAGCAGCAGCTGCAGAGCGGAGGGCAGCAAGAGCCGGTTTGGGTGTTGGATGTGGAGATGGCGGACGAGGCTTGCACCGATGAGCTGGAATCAAGCCCCATGGAGGGGGAGAATGCCAACCCTGATTCCCCGGACCAAGCGGAAAGGCCCCGAGCGCGGGGCCGGGGCCGGAGGCGACGGGCAACCAAACTGCAGCAGCTGCAGAGCGGAGGGCAGCAGCAGCTGCCGAGCGGAGGGCAGCAGCAGCTGCAGAGCGGAGGGCAGCAGCAGCTGCCGAGCGGAGGGCAGCAGCAGCTGCAGAGCGGAGGGCAGCAGCAGCTGCCGAGCGGAGGGCAGCAGCAGCTGCAGAGCGGAGGGCAGCAGCAGCTGCCGAGCGGAGGGCAGCAGGAGCTGCAGAGCGGAGGGCAGCAGGAGCTGCAGAGCGGAGGGCAGCAGGAGCTGCAGAGCGGAGGGCAGCAGGAGCTGCAGAGCGGAGGGCAACAGCAGCTGCCGAGCGGAGGGCAGCAGCAGCTGCAGAGCGGAGGGCAGCAGGAGCTGCCGAGCGGAGGGCAGCGGCAGCTGCCGAGTGGAGGGCAGCGGCAGCTGCAGAGCGGAGGGCAGCAGGAGCTGCAGAGCGAAGGGCAGCAGGAGCTGCAGAGCGGAGGGCAGCAGCAGCTGCAGAGCGGAGGGCAGCAGCAGCTGCAGAGCGGAGGGCAGCAGCAGCTGCCGAGCGGAGGGCAGCAGCAGCTGCCGAGCGGAGGGCAGCAGCAGCTGCAGAGCGGAGGGCAGCAGGAGCTGCAGAGCGGAGGGCAGCAGGAGCTGCAGAGCGGAGGGCAGCAGGAGCTGCAGAGCGGAGGGCAGCAGGAGCTGCAGAGCGGAGGGCAGCAGGAGCTGCAGAGCGGAGGGCAACAGCAGCTGCCGAGTGGAGGGCAGCAGCAGCTGCAGAGCGGAGGGCAGCAGGAGCTGCCGAGCGGAGGGCAGCGGCAGCTGCCGAGTGGAGGGCAGCGGCAGCTGCAGAGCGGAGGGCAGCAGGAGCTGCAGAGCGAAGGGCAGCAGGAGCTGCAGAGCGGAGGGCAGCAGCAGCTGCAGAGCGGAGGGCAGCAGCAGCTGCAGAGCGGAGGGCAGCAGCAGCTGCCGAGCGGAGGGCAGTGGGAGCTGCAGAGCGGAGGGCAGCAGCAGCTGCGGAGCGGAGGGCAGCAAGAGCCGGTTTGGGTGTTGGATGTGGAGATGGCGAACGAGGCTTGCACTGATGAGCTGGAATCAAGCCCAATGGAGGGGGAGAATGCCAACCCTGATTCCCCGGACCAAGCGGAAAGGCCCCGAGCGCGGGGCCGGGGCCGGAGGCGACGGGCAACCAAACTGCAGCAGCTGCAGAGCGGAGGGCAGCAGCAGCTGCCGAGCGGAGGGCAGCAGCAGCTGCAGAGCGGAGGGCAGCAGCAGCTGCCGAGCGGAGGGCAGCAGCAGCTGTAGAGCGGAGGGCAGCAGCAGCTGCCGAGCGGAGGGCAGCAGCAGCTGCAGAGCGGAGGGCAGCAGCAGCTGCCGAGCGGAGGGCAGCAGCAGCTGCAGAGCGGAGGGCAGCAGCAGCTGCCGAGCGGAGGGCAGCAGCAGCTGCCGAGCGGAGGGCAGCAGCAGCTGCAGAGCGGAGGGCAGCAGGAGCTGCAGAGCGGAGGGCAGCAGGAGCTGCAGAGCGGAGGGCAGCAGGAGCTGCAGAGCGGAGGGCAGCAGGAGCTGCAGAGCGGAGGGCAGCAGGAGCTGCAGAGCGGAGGGCAACAGCAGCTGTCGAGCGGAGGGCAGCAGCAGCTGCAGAGCGGAGGGCAGCAGGAGCTGCCGAGCGGAAGGCAGCGGCAGCTGCCGAGTGGGGGGCAGCGGCAGCTGCAGAGCGGAGGGCAGCAGGAGCTGCAGAGCGAAGGGCAGCAGGAGCTGCAGAGCGGAGGGCAGCAGCAGCTGCAGAGCGGAGGGCAGCAGCAGCTGCAGAGCGGAGGGCAGCAGCAGCTGCCGAGCGGAGGGCAGCGGGAGCTGCAGAGCGGAGGGCAGCAGCAGCTGCAGAGCGGAGGGCAGCAAGAGCCGGTTTGGGTGTTGGATTTGGAGATGGCGGACGAGGCTTGCACCGATGAGCTGGAATCAAGCCCCATGGAGGGGGAGAATGCCAACCCTGATTCCCCGGACCAAGCGGAAAGGCCCCGAGCGCGGGGCCGGGGCCGGAGGCGACGGGCAACCAAACTGCAGCAGCTGCAGAGCGGAGGGCAGCAGCAGCTGCCGAGCGGAGAGCAGCAGCAGCTGCAGAGCGGAGGGCAGCAGCAGCTGCCGAGCGGAGGGCAGCTGCAGCTGCAGAGCGGAGGGCAGCAGCAGCTGCCGAGCGGAGGGCAGCAGCAGCTGCAGAGCGGAGGGCACTAGCTGCCGAGCGGAAGGCAGCAGCAGCTGCAGAGCGGAGGGCAGCAGCAGCTGCAGAGCGGAGGGCAGCAGGAGCTGCAGAGCGGAGGGCAGCAGCAGCTGCAGAGCGGAGGGCAGCAGCAGCTGCCGAGCGGAGGGCAGCGGGAGCTGCAGAGCGGAGGGCAGCAGCAGCTGCAGAGCGGAGGGCAGCAGCAGCTGCAGAGCGGAGGGCAGCAGCAGCTGCAGAGCGGAGGGCAGCAGCAACTGTAGAGCGGAGGGCAGCAGCAGCTGTAGAGCGGAGGGCAGCAGGAGCTGCAGAGCGGAGGGCAACGGCAATTGCAGAGCGAAGGGCAGCAGCAGTTGCAGAGCGGAGGGCAGCAGCAGCTGCAGTGCGGAGGGATGGAGCTTGCAAGGCCGTTAGAGGGGGGCATGGAGACGGAGTCTAGCAGGAGGGTCTTGCCGGCGTGTTCGAGTGGAGAGGAGCACCCAGACCCTACATTGACACCCCCGCCCCGCATTCCGTGCGAAACCTGTTATCGCACGTTCACGGAGAGAGGAAAGGCCACACGCCATATGTCGGCCTGCAGGGCAGCGGACGCCCAGCGTCGTGCTCAGGCGGTTGGGTTGACCCGCGACGTCACAGATGACTCTGACGGCGAACCCCCGCCACCACGTGATATCAGTGAAGAGGTATGGGCCGCAGTTCCTACATGGGACTGGGAGTCGTTTTTTGGGATCGAATTGGTGCCAGGGAGAATCATGCGTCGTATCCCACAGCGCGCTAGATTGGGGGTGCTTGATGCACTGTCTTGTGTCCTGAAGCGGCTACAGTTAAAGGCAGCAGACGAGGCGACGTCCTTGGTCATTTTGGCCTTCCCTCGTCTTATCTTGGGGATGCCAACTGGGCAAGGCCAGGGGCATAGGGCGGCAATCAGGGAGCGGTTGGAGAAGTTTTGGGTCGGGTAGTGGCGGGAGCTGTTTGAGTTGGCGGTGGCGGTAATGCAACCTGCGGCGCGTCCTTTGTCCTTCACCCCCCCCGAGCATGATCCTGATGCGGTGCGCCTGGCTCGCTGCCGCACAAGGTGCAAAGTGGGAGAATGGAGTCGGGGTTTGGCGTGTCTTACTGCCGGTAGCATGGCTCAGCCCTCTCAGCACATGGTGGACGCGCTGCGAGCGAAACACCCATCGAGCGAGACCGCCATTCCGGAGTGGTTGCAGGAGGAGATAGTTGAGCCTTCCCTTATCCCGCAGCTCTCAGTGGAGGTACTTGGTCAGGCGATCCACTCTGCGGCTAGGGCGTCGGCACCAGGACCGTCGGGGTGGGTGACGGAGCACCTGCGCGACACTTTTCTCTCTGAGCCCGCATACCTGCCTCACCTGCTAGGAGTCTTCACCTAGTGGACCAAGGGAGAGGTAGCGGAGCGCGTGCGACCCTGGCTCACTGCGTCCAACCTTGTGGGCCTGTCGAAGCCGAATGGTGACGTTCGCCCGGTGGCTATAGGCGAGGTGCTCCCCCGCATACTATCTCGGGCCCTATGCATCGTGCTTCGGCCGAAGATGATGTCGCACTTTGCGCCGTGTAACCAGCTAGGAGTCGGATCCAGGTCGGGAGTGGAAGTCCTCGCACATGCCTTTCGTTCTGCCATCTCTACTCACCCGTCATGGTGCGCGCTTCAAATTGATGTGGCGAATGCTTTCAACTCCTTCCATCGGCGGGAAATGTTTGAAGGACTTCGACAGTCGCCTTTTGCGGGTTTGATCCCATTCCTGCGTGTCTTCTGCGGCACTCCTAGCGACCTCTACCTCCGTGCGGGCCCCTTCGTCGAAGCTTTGGCTTCAGAGTGAGGATCGAGGCAAGGGGACCCATTGGGGCCGTTTCTGTTCGCGTTCACACAGCAGCTGGTTATGGAGCCCACCAAACAAGAATTCGCCGACCTACTCTTTCTCAGCTACGCCGATGATACGTACATCTTGGGGCCTAGGGAGCGGGTGCTAGCAGCTTATGAGGTCTTGCGGGAACGACTGGGCGGGCTTGGTCTGGAGGTGCAGCCGCATAAGTGCAAGCTTTGGGAGCGAGGGGTGGACCAGGAGGGAGAGGAGAGGAACGAGACCGTCCCGCCCGGCATGCAGCAAACATGGACGGGGCTCACCGTAGTGGGGGTTCCTATTGGGGAGGAGGAGTGGGAGGTGGCCAGCTTGCGAGGCCGGCTGATGCAGCTGCATGCACCTGTCCCTTGGCTTCCTTTGCTCGACCACCCACAGATTGCGTCCCATCTGCTGGCGATCGCAGTGTCAGCGCGCCCGATTTACCTCACAAGGACGATGCCTCCACGGCCTGAGGTTGTGGAGGCTTTCCGCGACTGGGACACGAAGCTTGAGGATTGTTTTGAGCAGCTGTTTCCAGATAGCACCTGGGATCATGATTCGGCAAGGTCGCAGATGGCCCGTCTACAGCTGCACCTTCCAGCCAGACTTGGAGGGTTTGGCATTCGATCTGCAGCTGACCTTAGCCCTCTGTCGTACGCATGTGGTTGGTGCCAGGCAATGAGCGATGTGGCTCGGATGGGGGTGGCAGGGGAGGAACGGATGTTTGAGGAGTTTTTCCGCACGCCCGAGGCTACGACCTTGCTGGATCCTTGGTTTGCGAGAGCAGTGGAGCTGCTGCCACAGTCGGTCAGGCAGGAGATGCCACCCCTAGCCTTATGCACCGCTGACCCCCCTGTGCTGCTTTTCCCCACACAACATCGTCGCCTAGCGGTTGAGAGTCTGCAGACTCTTCGGGGTATGGCCCACGACGACGCCACCATGGCCCGTTTGACATCCCTTCAGGGCCCGGGGGCAGGGGCGTGGGTCTCCGCCGTCCCTTCGCACGAAGAGGCTACCTTCACCGCAGCCGAGTGGAGCATCTGTGCGTCCATGCGCCTAGGCCTCCCCATACAGCAGCTGATAGTCGCCGGCAAGTGCGCGTGTGGGTTTGAGTTTGCTGATCCCTCTGACCCGCATCATGCCCTTCGCTGCAAGTACCAGTACGCACCTTCTCGTGTTCACGACGCGGTTAAGTTTGTGGTGGCGAAGATAGCTAAAGGGGCGGGTGGGGTCGTGACCATGGAAGACGACACGTTGCTGCCAGGGAAGAGGGTGGATGTGGCGGTGCGGAGACTGAGGGAGGGGGAGGAGCATGCGCTGGAGGTTAGTGTGGTGGACCCTATCTCGTTGTCCGCGCAGCAGCACCATGGACAGATTGGTCGCAAGGTGGGTTTTGCCGCTAGAGAGAGGGAAAAGCGGAAGGCGGCGGACTACAAATTGCTTCTGCAGCGACATAGGGGAGTGCAGTTTACACCTCTCATTGCTGAGACATGGGGTTGCCTGGGGGGGAGTTTTGGGCGGTGGCTTAAGAAACAGGGCGACGCGCAGATTGAGGTAGCGAACACGAAAGGGGCGGCGAGAGCTACGGGGAAAGGTTTCTCGGCTTACTTGCTTGGATCACTTAAAGCGGCCATAGGTGTGGCTTTGCAGCGGGCTCAGGCGCGTGTGATCTTGTTGCGCGCGGCGTCGATGATGAGAGGCCCAGAGGCTGTTTCGGTGGAGCGGGAGGATTTTGAGGAGGAGATGGGATGGGATGCTCCGTGGGCGGATGCGCCCTATTTGGTGGACATGCGGGTTTAGGGGGTGGGTTTAGGTGAGGGGGGTGGGGGGTTTGGTTAGATGGGGCGTATTGTTGGGGTGTCTCGTTGGGGTGTCTCGTTGGGGTGTCTCGTTGGGGGTATCTCGTTGGGGTGTCTTTTGGGGTTCCTTATGTGCTGTTCTACTGGGGTGTTCTTGAGGTTGCGTTTTCCGTTTTTCTTTCATTTAAGACATTGATGGAAGTTGTGGTTCAGAATCACTAGATCTTTGAGTTTCCTCAAAAAAAAAAAAAAAAAAAAAAGTCATGTTACGATATTATATAATTCTCATTATATGTCAAGTGCATCTAAAAATTACACTGTAATGTTGCTTCGCAACCCTAAGACGATTTCGTCACCTCTTGTTTTTTTTTTCGCTCAGAAACTGTGATTCGTTATAAATAACAGTACCATTGACGGCATATACAGTTCGAAATAGATCATAAGACAAATGAATATCACAACCACGTATGTCGAACACAAAGCAAAGAACGCCAACGTGAAAACTCTTTCCACATGGATGTGGAAGCAAAGAAGCCAACATGTTCCAAGCATGGATGTGACGCCGAAGCGCATGTGCTGGCAGCACAATTCACGTCCCGCCCGCGTCAAGAAAAGTGCGCGACGCAGCGAAAGCCCGTGTAGTAAACAATAAATGGTTGACGAATTGCACGAAGCGGTTTGCGAAATGTAAATCAGCCGTCTTGACATTCCCACTCCAGCTTTGTTTAGCTTTGTACCGCAGAGCGCACTGCAGTGCTTAGTTGGCTGCAGCTAGGAGGGCCAAAGAGGAAAAGCTGCTGCTGTGTTGCTCGTGGCTGGTCGCTCCTGCCCGCCTTGTAGTTCAAATTGCAGCCTGAAACTCTGCAGTTTTTACAGGAAAGGGAGAGCACAAGAGAGCTTTCTGGAAAAGCGATCGCCGCAGTTTCCAGAGTCTCTGGGAAAGTGCTGGTTTCAGTAAATTGATAATTCCGTTCCCGCAGCCTCGTAGCGCAACGTATTCGCCGAATAATGCGGGGAAGAGCGACGGTCGCACCAATTCGAGGCGCGTCTTACGCGTCTTGACGAGGCCGTTCTATTGAGGCTAGAATATCCATTTGAAGTTCCAGCGCCTCCAAGCTACCTTGGTTGTTTTACTATCGTCGTGGTCCGTGAAGCAGACATAGTAGCCTCTTTATTAGGACTAATCTTACAGCATCAGGCGCGGAATATCCAGCAGACTAGGCCTCTTACTAGATAAACAATCTGCTTTATTTATATAATCTCCATAGTTCTGGCCACTTAGCCACCCCAAGGACTTCCGCGACAAGTGGAGAGCTTGCCGCAATGTTTCCGAGGACACGCGTGCTCGACGCGTGCTTG